AGCCGAAAATGCTTTATGCCACTAGAATCAGCTCGTCGAGCTCTATCGATTGGGGTACCTCTCGTTAGCATCTGTGATTAACACTTGGGATAGTTCCCTCGTTAGCCAAAATCATTCGCAGCATAATTATATGGCCATCACAGAACGAGATGAGAAATCTAGTAAGGTTCCATCCTATTTTAGGACGATATGTTGGCTGTATAGACGGTACCCGACACAGAATTAATCGCCCGAGTATGTGTTTGAACAAAACTAAGTAGGATTGCTGTAGAAACTTAAAACACTTCTTCCTTTTTTTCTTTAGAAAGACATCAACGAGTTTATTATAGTGGGGAAAATAAAACATATTGTTTAGCATCGATTTATATAATTTCTACTAATCATCGTTTAATCTTTTTTAAATCATGTTTTCCTGGCTCCGTACACGATAGTAGGATGCTCACATCTTGTACTATAGGTCCAAATCAACTCTGCTCGATCCCTCCACACACAAAAATCTTGGCAGACAAAGGTTTTGCAAACGGCGGTATTTTATTAACACCTGTGCGTCGGAATGAACTCAGACATTTCCCACAAGCATCGAAAGAGCTTTTTAGTTATCATTTATCTAGTAAACGAATTTTTATCGAACATATAACTAAAGAAATGAAAGTTTTTGATATCGTTCATGTTGTGTATAAACACAGTCATGCCTTATGGCAAGTGGTGAGTCTTTGTACAGCCTACTTAGCTAATGTAAGGGCAAATCTCTTCTTTACTTAAGTTTTCAAATTACGTTTAAAACTGTTGTGTTTATTGTTATTCGTGAATAAATAGACTATAAAAGCATGTGTAAATTTAATATAAAAAGAGAGCAAAGAATAGAATTATTTCCTCTGAACGCGTCGATAGAAAAGAACAAGAACCGAACGAAACAAACATTTGACACATTCGTTTACGAATGTACTGCATGTGCGAGAAAAGATATCTCCTTATTTGCTAGTTCTCTAATGTTATTTTAATCGTTTTTCAACTCGTACATAGATAGCCTCTGGTGAAAGAGTTATTGTTTCTTGTCGAGTCATACCTTCTTCGAGCTTATCACCGGGTAGAACTGTGTACGTATGCAACAGGCTTGCCAAACTCATTTTTAATTCCATTAAAGCAAATCTCATTCCAACACAATTTCGTGGCCCAACACCAAAAGGCATGTAAGCAAGAGGATGCCGTTTGACCATATGACGTTCCGGAACAAAAAGATTAGGGTCTTCGGGTCCCCACAAATTGATACTGCGGTGAATCGAGTAGGTGTCCGCCTGGATCACAATCCCTAAACAACGAGAAGTAGTGAGATTTGGTCCAATACATAAAAACTTCTATTTTCGATAATCCGTCATTGGTCAGCGAAAAGCCTGACGTATTTAGTGTATAGAAGTCTCCCGCGAACTTAGCTGTTTCGTCGCTCCTAAGCTCAGCATTAACATATCTCTCATAAACCAAATAAGCTATATGAAAGAATTTAAAAGTGGAACAAACAATCTTTGCTTTGACCAGCAGATCAAATCGTATAGTACTCCTCAAAAGTAGCGGGCCCCCTGTAACTCAAGAACCATGATAGCTAGGGACTTTTAATTCTGTTTGGTCACAGCTCTTACCTAATGCTGATCACTCATCAAGTTTAGGCCTCTTTTACGGCGCGGGGGGGGGGGGGGGGGGGGGGGGGGGGGGGGGGGGGGGGGGGGGGG